ATTACAATGTTTGGGCCCCCTAGTTATGACAGCTGATTCTACACTTCCGGTAACTATCCGATTGCCTCAAAAATTTTCATTTGAATTCTCATTTTCCCACTTCATGGACCTATTGTATGTAAAGATTGTCTTCATCTCGGGTTTTTTTTTTTTTTTTTTTTTTTTTTTTTTTTTTTTTTTTTTTTGTGGAAACAATGCATGAAAGTGGGATGCAAAAACTAGAAAAATAGTTTTGGGTTTTATAGATTTTAAAATGCAGAATACAAGAAAAAGAAAATAAGAAGGTTAATTTTTTTTTTTTGCATGAGTTGGAACATGAAAATTCATGGAAATGAACGTAATATACAACTCCACCCCTCCACAAGCTTGAATATAAGCATCGTTCCCGATGCTCGAAGAGGGTGGAACAACCTAATCACCGGAAGGTGGTGCGGGATGGTAGTTGGGTCGGGTAAGTTCCAAAACAGTCACAAGTGCACACAAATTGAAATTTTAAGCAAAATGTGTACGATTAAAGATATGGAAAGAATTTACCGAATCGTTCTTGGAGCCTTGCAGTTGGTGGTGAGAACCTCCTCTTCAACCTCCCAAAGCTTTCCTACATGAAGTATCAAGCCTAAAAGCACAAAGCAAATTGTGAAAGTTTCGTACATAGGGGTTCTTAGAAGAAATAAATTGTTTTGGGGGAGAGTTATGGATTAGTGGGGTGATAAAAACCATATTTGACACTAAACTCAATTTTTTTTCAATTTTTTTTTTGCTTTTGCGTCAACAAGACCCGTGTTGATTTGCACTAAACTGACACAGGTCGTGTTCAACAAAAAAGTTTAAAAATGGAATTGGACTTTGAACACGGCTCGTGTTAATTTGCACTAAACTGACATGGCCCGTGTTCAACAAAAAAAGACTGAAAATGGTATTGGACTTTTAACACGGCCCATGTTGATTTCAAGCCAAAATGGGCACGCCCCGTGTATGCCTCTTCTTGCAAACACCAAATTTTGAACCCCCGAAATCCCAAAATCGTTTGGAAAAATGATTTTTGTACCCCGAGATTCATTTTGAAGGCTTAAAAACATGTTGCAACACATTTGAAACATTGAAGGCTTAAAAACATGTTGAAGGCTTAAAAACATGTTGCAACACATTTGAAACATTGAAAACTAGAAACTTTTAAAGAAACGGAAATGTTTTGAAGGAAAAGATGAAAATACCCTGGGTTGCCTCCTGGTTAGCCGCCTTAGTAAACTTTTCGCCACCTCCTTCAATGTAACACTTATCTTGTACTTGACTTTTTGTTTGCGTGGGAACCATGTTGGACTTAGACCCTTAATGAAAACAATCATCCATCCGACCCTTTTCTTGTACTTTTCTAGTAAGGTGGTCAAGTCTTCCTTCTTTGATAAGGTGGTCGATTTGATGACAGGTTGGGTGTCTTCCTTCTCGGGGTACATATCCCTTGAAGAGTCCATCAAATTTGTCGTTTTCGGCTCTTGTTCTTGGTCTACCGGTGAAAGGAGTTTCTCATTGGTAGTGGGTGGGTCAATTTCTTTTTTGTCAACCTCCAACTCAACCTTTACAATTTCCATGTCAGCATTCTTAATTTCTACTTCTTCCTCGACAACTTGATATGGGCATATTTAGTTATAAAATTCATGCATTATCTTAATACTTTATGCTGTTTTTGTCTCATTTAATGAACAAAAGGTGCTAACTTAGTTTAGAATTTTATTTTTCCAGCAACAAAGACATGCTTGAAAGGAAAATGAAGTGGAATTGGCGATTGGAAGCTTGGATATTAGATCTTGAAGAAAGAAGGATTATGCTGGACAGTTTGACCCCTCGTCAGTGTTTTGGCCATATCTCATGAACCGTAACTCCGATTGACGAGATTCAAATTTTCTAAAAACTAGACGCAATTTCAAACGACTTTTGTGTTTTCAGAAAATGCTAATTCCAAATGGACTCGACGAGTTGGGCCTCAACTCAACGAGTTGGTCAGGAGTTTCGCGATTCTTGACGCTAACTTGCCGTACACGGGATTTTAAGTGATGGACTCGCCGAGTTACCCCTGTTTTCATAAAATATATAGAAACGCTTCTCATTCAAACCCTAACGAATGGGGGAAGTTTAGGATGATTTTTGGAGGCCAGAAGGGTTCTTAGAAGCTGTGGTTTTCGAGATTTCAACTTAGATATCAATTTGGAAGAAGATCAAAGGCAATAACACATTACTTTTATCTTAATCTTTTGCATGAACCATGTTTCAATCATTAGATTATGTTTTTAGTTTGTTACTTTCTGTAGATATGAGCTAAAAACTCATAACTTCTGTTTAGGATAGATGATTTTGTGATTATAGTTTGATTTTACGGTTAGGATTAATTTTAATTTGTGATATTGTTTTGTTAAGCTTGTTAAAGAACCTCATATGTTAATAACAACTATTCTCTGATAATAATCAGTAATTAAGTTGTATGAACATCTCTTAGTTATAAATTTCATATGATTCATGTGACCACATAGTTATATATCTAGGAATAACGAATGTGAAACTAGAATTAACTAGAAGATAGGTAAATTAATGTGTGAGCTTGTGGGATACACCATCAACAAGAGGTTAATTGAATCACCAATTTGATTAGCTAATACAAGTCTTACTTAACCCAATCAATAAACTAGGAAACTCATTGGTTTAATCAACTGATCACTGCTTGAATTAATTTGTTTTCTAAGGATTAGTAGTAGTGAACGTGAACCTAATCACACTAATCGGTAGTCAATGCCAATTAATCCATTGCACTTGTCATAAAATCAACCATATGAATGGTGAGATGAAGACCTGGGTGGAGATGGAGGTTGATTTGGTGGTTGAAAGGTTGTGTATGGTGGTGGTTGTGTGATGCAAAGTTTTCTTGTCATCACCCTTGATGCTCATCAGATCTTGTATTTGAGGTGCAACAAAACCCAAAAATTACCCAACCACCATCATCTCTGTTCATGAGCTTCATATTTTAAAAGATGTCTCATCTCCATCTCCCTTTCTTTTTCTCGTTTCAATCAGCCGGAGAGTTCAAGAAATCAACAACTGGGAACCAAAATCTTCATGTGTGTGTGTGTTTGTGTTCCGATAACATATCGTCCATAAAAAAGTAAATAGAGAAGTAGAACTTAAAAACTCGATTTTGCATCTAGAAAACTTTTTAAATTAATTAAATCCCAAAACAAAAATCGTTTTTGGGTTTCCCTGGTTTGAGAGAAATAGGTGAATTTAATTTAACTTTTTAAATTAATTAAATGCCACTTGGTATATGAAACCGATAATGATAGGTTATATGGAATAAAAAGACAGGTCACTTAAAGATTATTCCCTCATAAAACACAAAAATAACTTAAGGTACTGATTCGATCAAAATCCAAAACATTATAGGACTGCAATGTGATTTTCCCTTTAATATATCCCAGATCGTCTAGGTGAACAAAAACGACAGTGGAACTAGTCCTAGAGATATTTATATTGCACATAATAATGTGTCGTCCCATTTTTTTTCTTGTAAAATTTGGATTATCCATATGCATGATTCCTGTTTCATGTGTTATGATGTGTAAGGCTTGTTCTGCATTCTATAGGTATTCTAGCTTGAAATTTACATGAGGGGAGCTAAATATACAATACGTCATATTTATTTTTATTTGTGGTTTCTATTCATTGTCTAGTCGTGGGACAATGGTAAAAAGTTTTGACATTTTTTATTTTCATTTTCAGGTGATTTCTCCCACTTTTGAAGCTTTTACAGCAATCTTCTTTTTGCATAGAGTTAAAATACTCGTTTCACCATTTATCATTTGGTGATTTTGTAATCTTTGTCATTATTCTTATTTTTTCATGCTTCTCAAGTTTTTCACATTTTAATCTTAAGCAAGCAATTTCTTTTATGAACTTATCACATTTTGCACATAAAATCATGTTCAACAATATTCCTTTCTAACAGCAGAAGCTTCTCCGTATATTCATGCATTTCCTTTCTTTTAATGACAGATATATTTAGCTTAATCTTTTAAATATCATCATCATATTCCTTATTGCCATCCTAATATGTCAAAATAAATATCTAATCATTAAAAACAAAAATCCTTAAATGGAAAAGGCTCTTACGCTTTGATACCAAATTACTTTATTTTGAATAGATTTTGTTAGTTATACAAAATTGTATTTTTCGACCTTTTTCATTATTAAATATTTTAAAATTTTAGATTATTTTTAAAACTCAAACTTTAATTAAGCGTTGGTTGCTAGAATAAAACTGTATTTTTTTTTATTTTTTTATTTTTTTATTTTTTTTTATAAAATTTTCATTGGACACAAGCATTAATCTATTAGGACGTGTTTACCGTAGTGAAATTCTTTTGATTTAATTGTAAAACTTTCCTTAAGAGAAATATAATTTATTACTTTTTTAAATTGTCTTTGAAATGATGACATCATAAATCGAAAAATAAATAACGAAAATCCTACAGAAAAATCCAACTCAACCACACGTCAAAATCAAAATGGAAGTTGAGCTAAAACACAAACAGTCAAAGGTCGCTATTTGATTTACGTCTAATTTTTTATTTTTATCATAAATTAACAATTTTCCGGCTGTTGTTTTTTTGATATATATATATATATATATATATATATATATATATATATATATATATATATATATATATATATATATATATATATAATATATATATAGGGATTGGTTCAAATGAAAACCACAAAAGATTAAGAACCCTAAAAACCCACATTTAATAAGTAATATGTATTGTGAATATTACTAAATATGTAAAAATCTTAATTTTTGTCTGCTTGTTAAGAAAATGACAAAATCATATTTTTAGTGATCCAGATCTGATACATTCGAGATCTACCGTATTTTAGTGAAAATCTGGTGGTTTTGGCGGCTGTTTAGAGCAGATCTGAAGAAAAAGTGGTGGCTCGTCGGAGCAGATATGTCATTGAAGGAGAACACGACGACGACTGTGGCGGTTCACCACAACAACGACAAAGAGGAGGGTTCCAGATCTAAAACTTCGATGACGTATTTAAGTGTTATCGTTGATGGTCGGAGGCTGCGACGTGGAGGTGTCGTCGGCGGCCGTCGACAATGGTGGATGTGGTGGTGTTCATCGGAGATGGTTGAAGGAGGTGAGAGGATATTTATTTTCTTTTGGGAGAATAATGAAGAAATGGTATCAAATCTAACATATGTAATATGAGTGGTTCTTAGGTGCTTAACCTTTAGTGGTTCTCATTTGAACCTTTACCTATATATATATATATATATATATATATATATATATATATATATATATATATATATATATATATATATATATATATATATATAGGAATGATCATTTGAGAACTCATGGTTTCCCGAGAACTAATAGTGAAGCGTTGGATAAAAAAAAAGATGATCAAGATGTGTTGTGATATTTTTGTAAATAAGTGAAAAAATAAAAAGACGGGGGCATTCAAATTAAGTGGAATTAGGGGCATTTTAGGGTTAAATTGAATCATACACATATGTCTCCTAATCACCATTTCAGATCTCTCTCTCTCTCTCTCTCACGTCTCCACCGTATCTCTTCCCCTCTTCTCTATCCTTCCTCAATCGGCCCACCTCTAACTCCGTCGACAATGGACGTCAGCTACCAATCAACAACTTTTGTGTTCACCTTCAATTGCGATATTTGAAGCCCTAAATCGTCGGATTCATGATCATCGATTTATCGAGATCGATCAACAATGTCGATCGTGTTTCAATCATGTTTCATGAAGCGCTTTTGAAATTGTTGATATTTATGGCAATTGTTATTTCAGATCTTCTGTTTTTCAGACCAATGAACATCGCAACACCTTCCTATATTTATAGACTTCATATAATCATCATCTCCAGGTTAGTGTTTTCAATCAACTTGATCAATTTACATATCCAGTTTCAATCCTACGATCTTAAGTCTTGCCAAATTGCTGCTTAACTGTAACCTATAAGTTTTCTGATTTGTTTTTTTTTTTTTTAATTTTTTTTGCTTTGATTTATGTTATCATCATTAGAAAGCGTGAGGTCGACCAAAAGCACGATTGACGGTGTATTTCATTCATTGTGTTTTGAAGTGTAGAATTTGCTTTAGTATATAATTATTTGATGAATTTAATGTTGAGTGAGGGCTTCATATTTTGACAAACATAAAATCAAGTTGTATAAATATTAAGAAGGGATTTTGACTGTTATCTGCTAATCATAAGCTTTTATTGCAAATGTTTGTATAAGAAATTATCAATTTTTTTAATGAATGAATGCTTTGTACATTATCATTTTTTTATGAATAGATGTTGGTGATTGATTTATTCAGGATATTCTGGATAGTCACATATTTCAATTTGGTTTTATACCTGATATTATGAATACTCTTAGTTGTGAAGATCAATACTTTAGGCTAATCAATAATAAATTTCTTTTCTCCAATGACCGGATATGCAATTGGTGGTGGAAACTTAATCAAAGAGCTAGCAGACAACACTAACAAGGTAAAGAAAAAAAAACTAAAACCCAAAAATCAACTCCCAATCCCTCCTCCTCCACCACCACCAACTACCATCACATGGCCGCTAATAACACAAAGCATTTCATTAGATATATGATTCCTTCAAACATTGGAGAAGTAGTTTGTATCTTTTTTGCAGTTCTACTTGGGAAACTTGAGACTCTTGTCCCTGTAAACTTCTTCCAATCATGTAAAATTACATTATTGCCCATCCCTAGTCCTTGCATTTTCTTAAATCTTACCACATGAAGCGTCATCACTTGTTCCAGGTGCAACTACTTTGGGTTAATTTGGTTACCGATGGATTACCAACTACAACTATTGGCTTCAATAAACAAGATCAACATGTTATGATGAAGGCTAAACCTCGAAATGTATTTTTCTTTTACTTATTTTTTATTCAGACCATTTGGTAACTTAATGCTGTCAAGGTCATAGAATCCTGGTGGCAATCTCTCTGCCATATCTTTAAGCTACAATATATAATAAAAAAGTTTTTTTTTTTTTTTTTTTTTTTTTTTTTTTTTTTTTTTTTTAAATCAAATTATTAACTGTAAGAAAATACTTGTGATGTAAGAGACTTTATCACTTTATCACACCTAGAACATTTACATATTAATATTACATATAAAATGTTGATCAACTTATAGAGGAATATGATAAAAGTTGTAGCTCATTTGTTAATAACATTATATTTTATATATTAGCTAATTAACCACATCTGATTTGTGGTAATTGCCTCTATGTTGAGTTTTATGAATCACTTGTGTTTTGCATATGAATCACTAGTGATACACGTAAATCATCTTAATTATTTATTTTTTCTAACCATATAGTTTATTTTAATTGCTTCTATATTGAGCTTTATGAATTAGTTGTAATTTCCATGTGAATCACTTGTGACACATGTGAATCATTTGTGATTTACATGTGAATCACATGTAATTCACATGTAAATCATCTTAATTTTTTTTCTAACCATATAGTTTATTTTAATTTGTTTCATTTGGCAATATATCACAAGTGATTTACATATGAATTACATGTGATTCACATGTAAATCACAAGTGAATCACATGTAATTCACAAGTAAATCACAAGTTATTCACATAAGAAATACATATGATTCACATGTAAATCACATATGAGTTACATGTGACTCATATGTAATTTACATATAAATCAGATGCAATTCACACGTAAATCACAAGTGATTCATATATGAATTAAATGTGATTCACATATAATTCACATGTAAATCACAAGTGAATGACATATGAATTACATGTGATACACATGTAACTCACATATGAATCACGTGTGACTCACAAGTAAATCTCATATGATTCACATATAAATAACAAGTGAATCACATATGAATTACGTCTATATGCACACATGTATTTTTTTTAGTTTTCTTGCATTAATCATTTTTTATTTTTCATGTAGATTTGCAAGAATTTGTGGAAAATATTGAAGATGTGAAAACTGATAAATTAAAGAAAATATGGAAACTTGACACGAAGATGTGAAAATGCTTGAAATTTTATAGTTTTTATTGTTTTTTATTTTTTATTTTTATTTGTACCGAATAAAATACTTGTACAATTATGTTTATAGAATATTAAATAAAAATGGTTTTTTGTTATGATTACTTACGAATATTATAGTATAAGAAAGATGCGTATATGCACCTAAAACGTTGATTTTTTTGTTAAAAAAATTAGAGTTATTTTTTTTAATATTCTAGTTATTTTTTTTTTTTTAATTTATTGATTTTTAAAAATTTAGTTATTAAAAAAATGCATTTTTATAAAAAAAAATTGTAGTTTTTTTTAAATGTCGTCTTTTTTAATAAAATGTAGTTTTCTTTTTGAAAAAAAAAATGCAGTTTTTTTAAAAAAATAATATTTTTCGTCAATTTAAAAAAAATCATGTTTTTTAAAAAAATTAGAAAATCTCCTATTTTTTAAAAATCGACAATTATTTTTAAGAAAAAAATTCATTATGTTAATTTTTAGAACTTTTATTTATATTTCCAATAACTAAAAATAATTAAACATTAAATGTGACGGGTCTAGTTAATGGTTTGGCCTAGGCTTTCGTTGTAATAGGTTCTTTTGAGTCTGTATGCAGTTTTGGTAGGTTGGTTGTTAGTTTATGGTCGTGATGTGAGTTTATGGCTGTAAACCCAGAGTCGGTCCAAGTCCACTATATATATATATATATATATATATATATATATATATATATATATATGGGTTATGTAGGTCATTTGTGGTTGTTGATGCCACCAGAGTTCACGGCCACAGAGCAAGTTGTACCAGTCGTTTTTATTCAATATAAGCGTGTGCAAGCTTGTTTCAATTCTGTTTCTACTATGTTTCTCATTCCATTGATTGTGTGATTGCTTGATCATTGGTAAAGATCCATTTTTAGGACCTTACAAGTGGTATCAGAGCGGAACTGGTGTCAAAGCGTCATTCAATCGAAAATTTTCAGCCGTTTGAACTCATATTCGTTAGTGTTTGAGATTAGGGTTTGGTGTTTTCATAGCAAAGGGGGCAAATCTGCATCAAGCTTGCGTTTATTGTAATTTTTGGGAGTTTACTGCCAAAGGATTACGACCGTAAACCTTGTTTACGACCGTAAACTCAAGCACATTCAATAGGTATAAAGTGTGTTCTTGAACCGTAATCAGTGCTTCTTAAATAACCATAAACCGCCTAACCGTAACCATAAACACCCGACTGTAAACACAATTTACGGCCGTAAATACATTGACCGTAAACTCAAATTTTGACAATTTTTATTTTTCTAATTTTTAAGTTTTAAAAATAAGAATAAACGAATTCTCAAAGTCAAACACATCATCATGAACTGGATTTTGTTATGGGTACTACTACACGCATTCCAAGACTGCTGTCTGCTGATGGTTTTCCTGATGGAAATACCAGATAGAAAAGTACATTAAAATGAAGGACTTCAAGATTTGGAGAAGCATCATTAAGAATCTCGTCAGAATAACCACAACTGTTGCAGGGCAAGTAGTTGACAAAGCCGTTGAAAGTTATACAAATGAAGATTTTGAGAAAGTGGAAGAACAGAAAAGGGCTCTGGCCACTCTAACCATGGCTCTATCTCCTGATATAGATCAAGGTTTCAGAGAGTATACTTCAGCAAAAGCTTTGTGGGAAGCTTTGATTGAGGTATATGAGGGTAATGAGGACATGAAGGAAAGCCGCGAGGATATGCTGTGACAAAGGTTTAATACGTTCAACTACATTCCTGGAGAAACCCTGGAGGCACAGCTGCAACGATTCACAACTCTCAACACTGAGATGACTATAGTTGGGATCTTCTTGACAAAGTCTAAAATAAATAAAAAGCTACTGAATGCTCTCCCAAAATCATGGGACATGAATGTGGCTGTTATCAAGAAGATTGAAGATCTAAGTCGCCTTACTCTTGCTGAAATGATGGCGATCATCAAGCCCTGTGATATTGATGATAAACAACGGGAGATAAATCATGTGAACTGCAAATCTTGGGATCTCATCTAACAATGCTCTTTCATCTCTCACCTTTCCCTATACAGGTCAGCCTTTTGCTGCTCAGCAAGCTTAGACTCAATCCTTTTCCACTCCATCAGCTACTTCACTTCCTGCTGCATCATCCATGCCTTTTTCTCAGAACCAATCGTTTGTTGCTACTCAAGCTACTTCTTCCTCTAATGTGGCTTCTTCCTCAAACACCAATGAGTGTGATGAAAATCTTGCTCTCACCACAGGACTTGTTAAATACTACAATGCTCTTGTAGCTGGAGATATTCCACCACAATTGTTATTTGCTTATCTGGATCAGATTCATCGAGAAGACGTGGAAGAAATGGATATTACATGGCAAATTGCCATGGCAGTTTTCAGGGCGAAGCAGTTTGCGAAGAAGACAGGGAATAATAACTGGGGAATGAGTGCTGATAAAAAGGTAGGGTTTAGCAAAGGAAAGTTGCGTTGTTTCAACTGTCACAAGCCACATCATTTTTCTTGTGAGTGCCCGAAGCCGGATAGAAGATTAAACAATGACCAGACAATGGTTGCAGTAGGAAACAATCGGGGAGGTGCTCATGTCAACAGTGAAAAGGCTATGGTTGCTCAGTTATTTGACTGGGAGGACTAGATTCAGGCCCTGAATATATCAAGACCTGAAAATGCTCATTTGGCTCAAGTTGGCGATGAAGCTTTCGTAGAGAGTGTTGCAGCTGAAGATAAAGTGATGGTGTAATGACCCAATTTTCAAGACCAAAAATTTCATTTTGAATTAACGCATTTAACAAACATTTTACCAAAACATTGTCAATAAACATCCATTACAAAATCATAATGTTGTATTTCAAACCATAACATCATCAATATTGAAAATCAGAGTACAGTCCCAAAAACTTCTTGCGGAAACTTGTGTTTGTGTGTCATGCGCTGCTACACCGCCGACTCTTTCCCCTTCGACGAAGATGTACCTGAAACCAAAACCAAAACTGTAAGCACAAAGCTTAGTGAGTTCCCCCATCATACCACATACCATACAATATCGTCGGTATCTTTCAACCAGTTACCTTCATCCGTATCTTTCAACCGGTAACCTCCATCGGTATCTTCCAACCGGTAACCATCATCGATATCTTTCAACCGGTAATCAACATCGGTATCTTTTAGCCGGTAACTGGGGACTATTTCACCCCCTACTACAAGCATACAATCAACAGATATAAGCATACAGTCAGGCATATCTGGGTACTGACCTACCCTTGGGTCCTAAGGACCACTATCAGGGAAACTAATCCCTACCATACACATAACATACTACCCAGATAAACCTCATAACCAACACATAACCAGACCAAGATAATTATCACAAAGACCATTATCTTCTAAATACCCCTTTTTGGTGGGTCGACATTGTGGCCTTAGACCCACCCATATTGGAAGGTAACTCACCTCAATGTCGTGCAGTGTCTGAACTATCCTCTGCGTACAAGTTGACTCCCTACGACTCCTCGATCCCTACACGACAACCTTCAAGTCAACACACATCACATACAACCCTAAACAGGGTCAGTCAATGTTGGTCAAAGTCAACATTCATTTGACCTGACTCATCGAGTTGGCCTACCAACTCGTCGAGTCCATGCTTCTCTAATCTCCCACAAAACCCCGGCTCCACTCGTCAAGTCTAGCAAAAACTCGACGGATTCTCCTTCAATCATAACATCGGGACCATCTTCATCCGACTCGCCAAGTTCCTTCTTGAACTTGTCGAGTTCATCTCCAACTTAAGAACTTGTCCAGTCTATGACTTGCTGAGTTGTATGAACAACTCGTCGAGTCCATCTTCAAAGATTGGGAGATTGCTATGGACTCGCCGAGTCTGCTCATACCACTCGCCGATTCCCATGGCTTCCAGGTCCTTTTTCGCGTCTAAAGCCACAAGGGACTTCCTTCCTAACACTTACCCATTCACCGAAAGGGTTTGGTGCACAATGGTTACCGGCTCGTCGAGTGCTAAGAACAACTCACCGAGTCCAACTTTGACCAATTCCATACAATCGATTTAAGTGAGGTCTAACACACCAAAACTATAGATCTGGCCACCTAATGTCCATTTTATACATAAAGTTCCAAACTTGATGCACATGCATGGGGTTTTTAGCTTAAAAATACATATAAAGTGTCCTACAATGTGCATGGGGATCTCATGGCCCTAAAGTTGACACCTTTATGCCATGAGACCCCTCTTAAGGCCCAGATCTGAAGTAAAAACTCACGCAACACTTCCAAATGCGAAAAATGAATTAGAAATCCATGGAGATCCCAAGTCAAAGATGAATAAACACATAGATGAGTCAAGACAGGGGCATTATACCTTGAAGCTGCTGAAAATGAAGTATGATCTCCAGATCTACAAGCCCCAACTTGATTTCCAAGCTCCTTTCTTCCTTCCAAGCTTTACAATCCACACAAGAACACCACAAATGGCCTTAATTCACACACAAACAACTAGGGTTCGATATGAAGCTTTCAAGAGAGTGTTAGGGACAAGGGAGGCTGAGTTAAGTTGTTTATATAGGGTGCAAACCTTCAGATTTAGGGTTTCACTTAACTAGCACCTACTCGCCGAGTCAGTCTCCCGACTCGTAGAGTCGGTCACTTAAAATGTCCGCAACCACATCCCTACTCGACGAGTTGATCCTCTAACTCATCGAGTCCCAGAGAAAAAATACATATACTGAAGAAAACATACCAGGTGTTACAAATCTTCCCCACTTATTTTAGACTTCGTCCTCGAAGTCTGCCACTCGATCCTGAAAAAGCTTTGGGTAACGCTCCCTCATCTCGTCCTCCGGTTCCCAGGTCCATTCTGAGCCCTTTCGATGCTGCCACTAAACCATTACCAGATCCACCCTCTTGTTCTGCAGATCCTTTGACTTC